TGAAGGGTAAACTGAGTTTAATATAATTTCTTCTTGTTTGGCCAATGAGATTAATTAGCAGTTACTGGTACAGTACATACTCAAATTTCGTAATTCGTTGTTCTTGAAACCTACTGAGGTTTCATTAGTTATTAGAACAGCCAAGTCTTTCAAGAATGACTGTACCCATATGCACTGGATTTTAACTTCACAAAATTTCTGAAGGAGTCAGAGAGAACAGACTGGTTACCAGATGAACAGTGTATTTGCCTAAACAGTGAAACGTTATTTGGAAATTCAATAGGAAAGCTGTTTTTTTTCTGACTTTGATTCATTTGTCAAGAGCTTGCAAGAAGTCAGTGTTTCAAATAAAAGTCACAACTTGGGTTATCTCAATCACATTTAAAAGACAGAGCAGACTATTGCTATGTGCATATGATTATTTCATGAAATTCAGCACGTGTTACAGGTTTTGTTTGAAGAGGGAATTGTTCTGAACTGAAATATACAGGTCAGCTACTAAGCAAGTACTCATACACCTACCAGTAGTCCCTTACCTAAAAACAACCAATACTGGAAATAAAGGCCTCACTGATTTGCACCCAATAACACTGTGTCCATGACTACAACAGTTTGTCAAGGGCTTTCAGCTTACCTTCACATAAGGCTATGCATTTTAAGTTACGGCTTTGCAGAAATTGTGACTGTTGTCCTTTCTTCTGTAACTGAGATGTAAACACATGAGAAAACTTAATTAGTGCAGTAAGACAAACTGAGTGAAAAAGTAACAACGGAGAGGAGTGCTATTTTCAGTGGTTTATTAATGAACAAAGACAGAGACAGTCTTTCTAAAGACTAACATTTCTATTGTATTTCTAAATGTAACAGAATGTCGAAATAATTTTTTATTTGTATGGATTATTGTAGGAGGGATTTTAACTCCTTTATCCAGAAAGAAAAGTTCCCAATTATTACAGAATGAATATTATTAGAAATATCAGAATATTACTGTTTGACACAAATTGATAGCAGAAAAAAATGGTGAATTTGATCAATGATTCTTTGGCCACCACTCTGATTTTTTACTGTTTCTGAGGGCTTCTGCTGTTAGATACCAACCTATCTCCAAAGCCAGATTATTCTGTAGTTTCTATGTGCTAACTATAGAGATAGTTCTAAGAATTCTTTCTCAAAATGTAGCCCTATGCATAAATGCTACGAGTATGCTTTAGATAAAGCAGAATTGTAATGATTTAGTATGTAAAAACCATGAAAAAGAAAAACTGACTTGATATGAGATGCTACTTATTTTCAAGCAATAAGCACCCTCAATTCTTTTTGCATCATTCTTCTGCAAGTCTAGAACTCCAAAAGCAAGGGCTTGCTAAGTGTCATAATGCAACATGTATTTCATTTTCAGTCTTTTCCCAAATTTTTCTGCTTGGAAAAGAAGGGCACAAGACCTGCAGTATACTTCGTAAACTGGTACTTGTTGGACTGTATTTGAAGTTTGCAGTCTCTGAAGTTGTTGATTTCATTCAATAAAACAAAAGTATTAGCTTTCACAAAGGGAATATTACCTCCTTTTCAGCTATCAAGATCCCAAGCATAAAACCATAAATCTTCCAGAGATGGGTGATGTATTGTACCTGTGATGTATTACTGCCCTTACTGCCTGAAGCTGGTTCATCTTTAGCTGACACCTTCTGCTGCTTCTTGTTCATCCCTAGAAACATTAAAATCATGTAAGTTACCCTGGCATATAAATGCCATAATAAGCAAAGTTAAGTATTGAGAATGAAACAGGTAGCACAGTGGAGATCCCAGTTCTTTGCACGGCGCCCAAAAATCTAGTTAACTTTGTCATCCTGCAAAATACCAATACACCTTCATGTATTGCCAAGACCTTAGGAAAGTCAAATTAGCATTAAGAAGGTGCAAAAGCAGATAAACATGAGCTTAAACGCCACTCAATTCAGCTCAGAAATGCTCTTAGGTGGTTCCTTAACAGAGATGCATGTCTTGAGTCTACCTGACTGTATTCAGGTGGAAGTAACACAGTCTGATTTACTGTGGATAGTGGAACTGTGGATATTAATCTTTAACACTTTGTTAAGACTTACAGAAAGTCTAATTAATTTTTAGGAGCACTTAATTTATGTAAAATTTTAAAGTCTACCTTGGTTTAATTAATATACCTACATGTAAAAGTATTAAATTATTTGTCAGCCACATTGGATCCAAGTTCCATTTCAGAAATCTATACACCTACCTTTGTGCCTTAGATCTCTTTTACATTCCTCATGTTGGTTTATATAAAATTCCAGTACTGTATGCTACTACAGGCTTCCTTCCCTTTCCAGTAATCTGTATTTCTTGGCAAACACAGACTGAATTATGGGAACATTTAACTCTTTGAAGCAATAGGGAGTGTAGGACTCCTCTGTGGTTTTTATTGGCACAAAGTATTACATACTTCACAGAAACACAGGCCTCCTTTCTGGAGAAGACTGGGTTGAAAGGACCAAGAAAGGTAGAGAGCTGAGAAAAATACACTGAAGTGACAAAGCGGTGTTGTCCAAAATGGACATTTTGTTGGATAATGATACTGCAACCAGCACTTTTAATGAGCCCTAACAAACTTCCATACTTCCGAAATCTCTGAAAAGCTAGAAGTGCATTTAGAGGTTATTGATACTGAAATTCAATAAATAGTAATAAAAAATGCTGAACTCTTAAAATTAATTATGATACTACCTAAAAAGTCTGAAAATCAGAAGCGTAACTAAAACTCTCAGAATCATCTACACGCACACAAAAACACATTCAGCTACACCAGCACTTTCATATGTGTGGAAATGGTAAATACAGCATACTTAAAGGAAGAAGTCACCATACTGAAAAATCTCTTCAGTTTTTTAATATCCACATTGATGAATCTTGTTTCTATTATGCTTCTATTTATGATTTAATTCTTATATGGAAAACTCTGCATGACTCACTTTTGGATTTACTAATGGGACAAATTATGTTCCCTCTCTTTCTCATGCTATAATAAACACACTGTCCTGTACTTTCTGTGTAATCCTGACACAGTGATATTTAGCAATATTCTTAAACATACAGAGTTGAACATGCCTACTGATGAATATTTGTTTTGTCAGATTAGGCTGTAATGTTAGATGGACCGTGGCAGATACTGACAAAAAATCACAAGGTTGGATTTCCACTGCATCAACAAGACCTGATCCATTATACACAGCATCCAGTATTAGCTACTGTTTCCTTCAAGAGCAGTTTCAAAATACTCAGCACCTTGGAAATAGAGGACATGTATTTAATAAGAGAATCTAGACTTTCTCTTTTTTGAATAAATTAAATATTAGTTGCCAAAGATAAAATGCAATACAGTGTTGTAAACAGTGAAGCTGGTAAGAAAAGCAGTAGACTAAGGTACCCCCCCTATAATTCTCCAACTTTAGAGTGACTTATAAAGATCACCTGAGTAACCAAATGATATGCTTGACAATGGACTAAGGTAGATTCCACTTCCAAACATTGCACCATGGAGCTGAAAAAGAGTGAAGTGATTGCTTAACATTAATTTGTTTATCTGGACAAAATAATGATAGAAACAGGTCGTAATGTAGATAAGCATCTGCCCCAAGGCACTAATTTATTGCCTGGCATTCAATAAATGGTGTTCAAAGAAGTACTTTAAAAAATCATACTGCAAATACACAACTAAAATACTGTATATTCTGGAAACCATGTCCAAATGCCCAAACATAATTTTAGATCAGATTTGTATATAAAATTGCATTTACTGATTTTAAATCTAACATTACCACAGAGGATGCTTACAGAGGGTGCTTCCGTACATGGCCAAATACAACTCAGCCTTAGCAAGGCTGAGCAAGCTCAGCATGTGTCTCACATCAAAACCTTGGCAGGAAGCACAGCCTAAGCCAGTCCCTGTGAATCAACAGCAGCAACACCCGCTTTTGTTTTCTTTAAGGGAAGAAATGAAGAGGCAGTGATGATACTGGTCATATGCTACAGAAAAATTTAGTCACTAGTTCAAGCCTGTGCACTGGAGGAATGGGTTCAATAAATCTTTTGTCTGAGCCAATTCAGACATGCGTATCTCATCACTGCAGACTGTGCTTTAACCACAAAGCTACCAGCTGTCTGAAAACAGAAGAAAGGGAAGACTCCTCTTCACCAACATCACTGTTCCATGATATGGAGCTTGGGCTAAGCAACAAAAGTGAGCACTTTTTATTAGCCCTGCAGTGATTTTCTTGTCTGGAAAAGGGGAAATACAGGTTTCACTTCTCCACCAGGGACTGACTGTCCTATGTGGAAAAGCCTTTAAAGAAAATGCACCAAGCAGTTGCTGGAGCACAAATGAGAACCCAAAGTATCTCCTACCTAGGTTGATGACCACTGGGCATCAGAGTCATGCTCACCCTTATTTCTTTCCTTTGACCCAATGATATTTGCATTGTCTCTGTAATGTGCCAGAGCTCCTATAGGAATGTGCAAACATGTTTTCACTCCTCCAAATTCTACAATGCTATATAGGATCCTTGGTGAGTAGGCATTTTTTCTGACTGGTTAGTATTGGAATAAACAGGATGAACTGGGCTCAGGACATGCCTTAGGTGTGTGAGAGATCTAAAAATGACAACTTGCATAAAATAGGGCCTCACTGCTTCCTCATATTCTCAGTATCTCAACCTTCAACAAAAAAGTAAGCATAAACAAAGGAGTTTACGTGGTGAATTTTTGTGTGTAAATCCTGTTTTCTTGAGGAATTATCTTCCAAAGATATTAATAAAAACATCCAAACCACTAAGAGGAACAGAACAGATTTCAATTTCCTTTTTTTCAGCATCCTCTGTACACTGATTCTTAGTCAGCACCCTGGTATCCTCCTCCAAGGTAGCACAAAGTCAGCTCTGGGGAAGAGCTGTCAAAACCCTGATGCTAAAATATTCCGAGTTACAGCTTCCCAATCCCTCTGGTGCTGCCTACTTTGCTCTGCAATAGTGGTTCCCTGATTATTCAATCTGCAAAAAATGAACTGAAGTCTGCAATAGCTTCCTCCTGGCCAGTACACTCATATTTCCATTCCCAAGGAAACCAGAGAAGACAAGATAACACAGTTTTTGTAAATGTAGTATGCTTTCGGATCCTATAACATAGACATAGTTTATGTAGCTCCAAATGTCAATCCCAACTTCTTTTAAGCAGTACCGAGTTAAGCCTCCTGGAAGTGCTGCTCTGCAATGTAAAATTGAAACACTGATTCCAGCAATGGGATTTTCTAGCCATTTTAGTCAACGCGTTATTCCATTTTAATTGCATCAGAAAAGTACCTTTTCCAGAAAACAAGAAATTATTTTAAATCATCCCTTTTCTCCACCTACAGGACTATCAGAACCACACCCCCTGAAAACTTGCCTAAGCTAGTATGTAATCAAGCATGCACAGGTTAGCTAAAGCCTATTTAGTCTACTACTTACCTGCAGCCTCGTATTGGAAGCAACAACTAAGCCGTTCCTCAGGATGGAATGCCAATTTTCAATGTGTGAACCACTGAAAAAATGAAAAACAAAGCATTAAAATCCACAGTGTAAAATGCAAAATTAAATCTGTAATCCTTTGAAACAATAAATTCACAGCTGTAAACTTCAAATGGCAAGAACAAAAAAATAGCATAGCATTTTGATAACCTTTGATTAATACGAATATATGTACTTACTGAAATGCAAAGGTACTACCGTAGAGATTTTTAGCAGCTCGGAAATTGGATTCTTTGGCTGGTGGACTGCTGAGAAGTAGGAACTGGTGGGGAGTGTGCATAAACTTTAGTTGCTGCAAAATACAACAGTGCACAAGTGACAAGAAGTTGATTAAGACAAAAGCACTGCATTTTCATAAAGGTAGTTTTTAAGATACTATGCTGTTATGCACAGTTCATAGCTAAATCTAAGTAACTACGTGAACCAACTTGAAATTGGTCTCATTACCATAGTTTTTACCTGAAATCAAATAGCAAAAATGTCTTCTAGTTTATGAAACATATGGAAGTTTCTGAAACAGATTTCAGCCTAATATGGCTCTAGTAAAGTAATTAAATTGAACAATTTCATCATGATATCCTAGTCAGAGCTGGCTTTGAATTAGAGTTCAGATTTGAAAGGCTGCAGATTACTATGCCCTTAATCAGAGGATCAGAGGCACACATACTCAGAAATGCATCTCAGCACCACCCCTCTAAAATTCAAGAGCTATACTCTTATTTAATGAGTACTCATACGTGGATCTCCAGGTACACTGCGTTAGTCCATGCTGCTTTCTGTACAATTCTGTATCTAATATTCTATACGGTAACAAAACAAATAGGGAAGTTTTTCTCACCCAATCGCAGATGACTACAAGGCAGACATTTGCTTTTGAGCTACTCATCTCAAATAGGCCTTTTCTGAGCATTGTTCCTTTGACCTGTTTTAGATATCTGCAATGTGATTCTATAAGTCATGACCTGAAACTGCCTATTTCTCTTCCTTGTCTATTAATGGAGTCAATGTGATTAGTTTGCATGTAGACACCTACGTTTGGCTAGGAAACTCCTACCTAAAATGCTAATAAGAGGCATGAGAAATGAGAAAATAATAAAGAATCCAGAGACACTTACCCGATTAACCGGTAGCTTCACAATATGTGATCTATTACTAGAAATAACCCTAAAATAAGAAACAGAAGTATTAGACACAATAACTAAACAGAACTTTTCTTCTTTAAAATGTGTCATGAATGGCCACCAAAAAGCAGCCAGCTGCAGGCCTTTGAACCAACCAGATGAAAGTAGACCAAATTCTGACCAGAAAATGAGATCAAAGACTGTACAAGCAAGCTGGGGTCTTTCCAGTGTTTTCAGAGGGCCCAGATGAGGTCCAGAAACAGTCCACAAACACCTGCAGTTGTAAATGTCAACCCTGACATTAATTAATGGGGTAAACTTATAACAAATTACTCTGCTGAAATGATTATTCATTAAAATTGGCAATTTAATAATTATCATCTCATGTGAGTCAATTTTATACCATTGTAGAAGAGGATGTGCAAGTGGGTCTTGTTTATCCATCTGCTTCTTTATTTCCAAGTAAGGTGCCTAGAAAAGAGTAATTATGTTCTTTATTTCTAGTTGAAATCATAAGGTTAAACTTTATGTATTACACTGCCTATGATTTCATCTATTAAAATGAATACATGGGACTCATTATTAGGCTTGAATCACACTTTTACTGACATTTAGTGTTGTACCGCTATAAATGTGTTTTGACAACAAGAAGAATTAATACAGCAATTATTTTCCCTAGAATAAAATAATAAGCATATAATCAGCATCAAAATGAGTATATTATAGCAAACATTGGTGATCTCAGGGAGAATAGCAGAAGACGCCTATTTATGTTTGGCTCTTGGAATAATAAATTGGACTGGAACTTCACAAAATTAAGTCTCCCAAAATACTCCAATATAATCCACTCCTATTAGTTAACTGTTTTATTGTCTAAACAGGTAAAGTAAAATACTGCATCAGCTTATAATCCCTTTGAAAACCTTCAGTGGTTTCAAACACAGTGCAATGCATCCCTTTAAAACTCTTCAGTTCAAGAATTATTTTAACATTAAAAAAGTGCAAAATGGTGGCTAGTTTTCTTTTTAAAAGATATTAGGTAACAGAAATACCTGATTTTTTAAATTTTTACAAGATGTTACATGAAGTAACAAAAAAGATGCGAATTCTAATTTTCAATTTATTTTACTCCTCTCCATACACCTCTTTCTTCATTCCAGAATCCCAAAGTACTTTACAAATACATACAGAGTAAGATTTATAAACTGTTACAAGGTTACATTTATGTAGCAGTTGGAAAAGCAAGGTACAGGGGAGAGATTTCAAATAATCTGTTATAGTTAGCTGGGCTGTTTGGGAAAGGAAGTGTGAAGGCAAACATACGTATGGATATCAGACTCTGTCCCATTGTGAATACTGAGAAATCATATGGTAGTAGTCCCAAGAGACCCCGCCTTCCAAGTAATCATCCATACTTAGCTGATCAAATGTTTTGCTATCATAGAAATAAAGCTATCATTCAGAACATGGTCACAAAATCAATTTCCTTTGCTTTGGAAATAAAAGACCCAGTTTGGCTTTGGTATTTCCAGAACGCAGCAGTTGGTGATTATCTCATTACAATGTTCCGTTCTGCTGTTATTATCTCTTATTTAAACTTCAAAAGATCTCAGTTCTACTTCATCACTTTTATCTGACTTCCATTATGAACACTCTAGGTTAGCTATTTTTAACATACATTTTAATATTATTATAGCTCTATAGGAAAGAGATTATACTACTGACTACCCCACCCATCATAAGCAAGCAATAGAAACATCTTCCTAATTCTACAAATAGCAATTAAGTTAGGCAAAGATTTTTAAACTCACCTGTGTCATCTCTCTAATAGAAGTAATACTATCCAACGCTTTCATGACTCGGTCATAATTCTTCTTCTGATATAGCGAAAAATAAGCAAGTAAGTTAAAAGAATATTAGTCTTTGGCTCTACAAAAACATGTATTTTTCGAGTGTGCATAAAACCAAAGCTAGGACAAATGTACAGCAAACCAATCCTTTAAAAACATTTCTAACTACTAGCTTTCTTCCACCTCACACACAGACTCTCTCATTCATAGTCCAGGAAGACTCACTGAAAAAATATTATTGTGATGGTTTTTCTTTGAATTTCACTGGAATCACCAACACTCAAAAAATTAGCTCACTTTCTAAACAAATATTTGAAACTCGACACAAGTTCTGACAGTTATCTGGACAACAAACTATTATGTTAAATAATGTAGTGACCAAATAGATGTGTTTACTTTGCTAACAGCTCTATAAAACATCAGAGGTCTTTCAGTTGTCTTTCTGCCTCACCCTGACCCTTGCTTACTGTCTGCTTGGGGACTGCCATGAGAGGGCTCCACCTTTTGTGAGTGGATGAGCTTCACCAGCTTCACATGCCACATCAACTTCAGGAGTTTTACTGTTCCCCATTAGCCTATGCTAGCAAGAAGCCGGGAGAAGGCAGTGGGGCTCTTTCCACTACTCTTCTGGTGTGACCCTCTTTCATATTCCCTTATCTGCTTCAAACTCCCATCTTGCCCAGCCACCAGACTAGATGCCTCTTCATAATCCCCCTTCCAAGCACCTCCTGGCAAGGCTTCCTGCCAACATGCTACAAGACACACTCATTACTTCATGAGGAAGAACCATTGCTAACTGGCCTTTGTTCAGAAAAAGTGAAATGCATCCCAATGCAAGATATCCAAAGTTTTCATTTATGCCCTTGAGGATGGCTCAAGTGAGCTGCAGTAGTTCACGGCTTCTCGAGGTCTTTCCTGAGAGGCCGTATTTGCAGCCTGAGGATCAAGTAGTGCAAACACAGTTCTTTACTTCAACCTGATGCTTGTATGAAACTTGACCATTATGTCAACATTTAATAAAATTATATTTAAGGACATAATTTTTTGCAAAAAGAAAATAAGATAACAGCAATAACCACTTTAGGAATAAAAAAATGGACTGGAAATCCCGATTCACATGATCTAGACCTCCTGAAGGCCATCTTTCTCTTTGTGTCCAATGCGTACACTCAGAGAAAGACACTAATAGTACAAAATTTTAGAATCTGTACCCTTTCTTGGCTTCATCATAACTTTCAACACAACTTACAGTTTATGCTCAAATAACCTTCTCAAGATAATTTAAAAAGCTACAAAGTTCTGAAAATAGTTACACATTTGTGCTATATTCTGGAGCTGTATCTTATAGTAGAGGAGACTACTCCAGAAGAAGGCTTTGCTTTGAAATCTCATGTATGACAAAACCAAGGTATGACATAAGGAAAGATGACTACTTACTCTGGGGTTGAAGGCCAGCATCTGAGGATCATTAGGATCAACTACAGAAGGATATGGCTCAAAAATGACGACTTTCCTAGGTGACTCTAATGCAGATCGACACATAGATACTAACAGATCAACCACCTAGGGATAAAGAAAAATATTCATTCAGTATATGTACTTTCATACTGTATCTTCCAGTTTGCCTTTTTAGAAATCCCAACTACATGGAGGGATGAGGTAAGG